GGCTTGCGGGTTGTTACTTTGTAAACCTTTTCTCTCAGTCTTCTGTTGCACCTTGTCCTCCTTGGAGCTCTTCCATTGTCCCCCGGCCCCTGCCTTTAGAAAGTCCTCAGGACAGCCTGCCTTTGGTGTAGAAGTTTGGCTGCTCCTGTTCTTGCTTCACTGGGCCACACCGTGTTCCTTTCTGCTGCTCTAGGCAGAACTGCCATTTCTGAGGCAGCTCCTGCACTTAATTTCTGTGCATCAAGTATTAGATCAGGTCGGAACATTTAAACCAGTGTTTGCAAATTTGAGGTTGTTGCATCTGAATTATGGAAGCTTAAAAAAAGGGTGCACTAAACCCACCCCTGTGACAATCTTCTGAGACCATTATATGTATAAACAGATTTTTTAATGTGTTACACTATGTTCCGACATCTTAATCTACAAAAAATATTGAAATAGTTAATCTGTTTATTTCCTAATGATTGAGTTTTCTTAGTTTTCTTAAGTCACATTGAGTTTTCTTTAGTCACAAGTTGAGTTAACTCTTTTCGGACCCCATGGACTGTCGCCCACCAGGCTTCTTTGTCCATGGGATTTCCCAGGCAAGAACACTGGAGTGGGTTGCCATTTCCTCCTCCAGAGGATATTCCCGACCCAGGCACTGAACCTGTGTCTCTTGCTTGGCAGGCGGATTCTTTACCACTGAGCCACCAGGGAAGCCCATACTGGCTCTTTTTTTCCTGCATCTGACAGTGGAAAGCACTTCTTCCCTTAAACCCTTCTCATCTCCTGCTATAGAACATTACTGCTTACTTCTTCCTTTTCCAGTATTTTCTTATGAAAAATTGAAGCCTACAGAAGTACTGAAAGGATTGTACCCTGAAAACCCATGTACCTCCCACCTAAATTGTATAAAATTAACACGCATGTGTATATTCACCCATCATTCAACCTTATTAAAAAAAGAAATTATCTGTTTGGCTGTACTGGGTCTTAGTTGCAACATGTGGGACCTTTAGTTTCAGCATGTGGGATCTAGCTCCCTGACCAGGAATTGAACCCAGACCCCATGCACTGAGAGTGCAGTGTGTTAGCCATTGGACCACCGGGGAAGTCCTTCTATCTTATACTTTGATGCATTTCTAAGTTTCAGGCATTGATAAATTTGCCCTTAAACTCTTTCAGCATAGGTGTATCCTTAACACTAGTATTTCTTTACAGCTTTTAGCGGGAGGGGAAGTTATATGTTTGTGAGATGCACCTTAGCCGTCTCCAGTTGATGGGGTTTGGAAACGCACTGACTCATGCAGTACAAGCCCCTGTCAGGGCACAGGACCTGCTGTGGGAGTCAGACCCCACCCACCCCACTGGTTACCATCATGCTGAGAATTTTCGCTGTGGGTAAGATTTGCCTGTCTGATATGAGTGAAATCCTGGGGAAGATTCTTCTGTGTTGTTGCCCTGTAGCTGATCGTTCTTGTTGCTGAGGAAGATCCCATTCTGTGAGTAGTTTGTTGTTGATTCTTCTAATGTGAACACCTAGGCTGTTTCTGGTTTGGGGTTATTATGAGTAAGGTTCTTATAAATATTCTTATAGAGCTTCCCTGGTGGCTCAGACGGCAAAGAATCTGCCTGCAAAGCAGGTGATGTGGTTTTGATTCCTGGGTTGGGAAGATCACCCAGAGAAGGGAATGGCTACCCATTCCAGTATTGCCTGGAAAATTCCATGGACAGAGGAGCCTGGTGGGGTTGCAAAGAGCCAGACACAGCTAAGCGATATTTTTTTCAAATATTCTTATAAAAGTGTTTTTTGTGGGTAGCTGTTTTGATATTTCTTGGATAAATACCTAGATTTGGTATTATCCAAAGTAGTTGTCTGATTTCACACTCCTGTCAGCAGTGTGGGAGGGTTTCCCTTGCTCCACATCCTTACTAACATTCGATAATGCTGGTTTTCAAAAAAACTTTGAAATGAAGCCTAAAATAGACATAAGAATGTTCTTTATGTTACCATATAGCATAGTTGTTAGCTACATGTTTTTGGGAGATCCCCTTTTCAGGTTGAGAAATTTCCTTATTCTTACTTTGCTGAGAGCAGAAATTATGACTGATGGTTGAATTTTGTCAGATGACTTTTCTGTATTAATGTAATTTTCTTTTCTTAGTCTAGTGAATTACATGGTTTTTGTGTTTGTTATTTTTTAAGAAAAGAAATTGTTAAACCAACCTCTATCCCTGGGATAAATTCCACTTGGTCCTTTTTAGTATGTAGATTGATTGGCAAACATTTTGTTAAGGAATTTTCATCTGTGTTCTTGAAGGGTAGGTCTGTAGATTTCATTTTCTGTTAGAGCTTTGTCAAGTCTTGGCCAGCCTTGTGAAATGAATTGGGAGCTGATTCTTCCTTTTTATTTTCTGGAAGAGTCTATGTAGAATTGATAATACCATGTTTAGTAGAATTCCCAGTGAAGCTATCTAGAATTGGAGTTTTCTTTGTGGGAAGGGTTTTAATTATGGAGTCAGTGTCTACACTAGATATCAGACTATCAGGTTATCTGATTTTCCTGAGTGAGCTTTTTCTTATGTTCTTTGAAGAGATTTGTCCTTGTCAGTTTAATTTGTCAAATTTATTGGCATTATGGTGGTCATATTATTTTCTCTCTGTAGGAACCATGGTGGTATCTCTGTTTATTTTTTGGCCACTCTGGGTTTTCGTTGCTTTGCACAGGCTTTCTCTAGTTGTGGTGAGTGGGGGCTTCTTTGTCGCAGGGTGCTGACTTCTCATCGTGGTGGCTTCCTTTGCTGCAGAGCACGGGCTTTAGGTGCAAAGGCTTCAGCATTTGCAGTTTGCGGGCTTAGTTGCACCCTGGCATGTGGAATCTTCCTGGACCAGGGATTGGACTGGTGTCCCTTGCATTGGCAGGCGGATTCTTATCCACTTGCCACTGGGAAAGTCCTCCCCTCTGTTTTTGGCATTGGTGATTTATATCAGCTTTTTTTTTGACTAGTGGTCACATGACATTGATTTCCTTCTTTTTATCTTTAACCTCTCTATGATTTTGTATTTGAAGTGAAATTTTTGTAGACAGCATATAATTGTTGCTGTTGTTCAGTCTCTTAAGTTGTGTTCCACTCTTTGCGACCTCATGGACTGTAACATGCCAGGCTCCTCTGTCCTCCACTGTCTGTCTCCTGGAGTTTGCTCAAATTCTTGCCGGTGATGGTATCTAACCATCTTATCCTCTGCCACTCCCTTCACCTTTTGCCTCAGTCTTTCCTAGTATCAGGGTCTCTTCCAGTGCGTCTGCCCTTTGTATCACTTGGCCAGAGTATTGGAGCTTCATCAACAATCTTTCCATATTCAGGGCTGATTTCCTTTAGGACTGGTTTGATCTCCTTGCTGTCCAGGGGACTCTCAATAGTCTTCTCCAACACCACAGTTTGAAAGCAGTTCTTTGGTGCTCAGCCTTCTTTATGGACCAACTCTCACATCCATACATGACTGCTGGAAAAACCATAGCTTTCACTAAATGGACCTTTCCTGGCAAGATGATGTCTGCTTTTTAATACGTTGTCTAGGCTTGTTGTAGATTTTCTTCCAAGGAGCAGGCGTCTTTTAATTTCATGTTTGTGGTCACCCTCTGCAGGGATTTTGGAGCTGAAGAAAGTAAAATCTGTCACTGCTTCCACTTTTTCACCTAGTTGCCATGAAGCGATGGGATTGGATATCATGATCTTAATTTCTTGAATGTTTAGTGTTAAGCCAGCTTTTTTTACCCTCCTTTTTCACCCTCATCAAAAGGCTCTTTAGTTCCTCTTCACTTTCTGCCATTAGAGTGGTATCATCTACATATCTGAGGTTGATGAATCCTAGCAGTCTTGATTCCAGTTTGTGAATTCAGCTAGCCCGACATTTTAGATGATGTACTCTGCAAAGAAGTTAAATAAGCAGGGCGACAGTATGCAGCTTTGTATTCCTTTCCTGATTTTGAACCAGTCAGTCAACATATAATTGGATTGTGGTTTTTAACTCAGTATGACATTTTGTACTTCTTACTTGAATGTTTAGACCAGAGGTAGGCAAGCTGGACCAAATCTGGCTTGCTGTCCATTTTGTAAATAAACTTCTTGGAATACAGCTTTGCTTGTCTGTGTTTACATACTGTCTGTGGCTGCTTTTGTGCACAGTGGTGAGCTTGAGTTGTTGTTTCAGACAGACTGCTTGCTGGTGAAGCCTTACATATTCACCGTCTGACTTCTTACCAACACTTGGAGTGCCCATATCATCCCACCCGACATGCGTCTCCATGGGGCTTACACTGGGAAGACAGTGTTTGCTCATGTGGTTTTTCTCTTTCAGAAATTATTTGTAGGAAATCTTATCTGTTTATTTCTTATAAGACTGTATTTTTAAAACTATATATATATTTATATATGTTTTTGAATTTATGGAAGACTACAGACATGGAAAGAATCCAGCACCCCAACAAGTATGGCTAGGAAGGAAATCAGCTCTGTAATAGGACAGTTTAATGACGCGCAAACAAGAAAGTGTGGGAAAGGAAGAAAAAAAATGTATTGAATTTAAGACACTGTGAAACTGAGATTTACTAAGTATAAACTCTGTAAGGACTTGACATAAATTGAAAGGCGGCTGCTGAAGTACAGAAGCTGTAGTATTAACTTGGATTATTTCAGCATTTTCCCCAGGTCTCCAGCTTGATGGGAACTCTGTCAGAGTTTGCCATGGGGTAGATTTCCCTTTCTTTCTCTTTTTCTCCCCCTCCCTCCCTCCCTTTCTTCTCACTGTGCAACATAGGGGATCTCATTTCCCTGACAAGGGATTGAACCTGTGCTCCCTGCATTGGGAGTGCTGGGATTCGCAACCACTGGTCCACCAGAGAGGTCCTTCCCATGTAGATTTCTTAAGTGCCAAAGAATCCCATTGGGTTCTAATTCAATACTTCTTTATCTTCTGAAATTACATAATAATCTCTGTTTTTCTCCCTTTCTAAAAGGACCTTAAAGGCTTTGACCCAGGAGAGAAGTACTTTTATAACACATCATGGGGAGATATTTCTCTGTGGGAACCTTCTGGAAAGAAACTGGTATGTATTTTTATTTCCAGTTTTCATGTTTCCTCAGAACATGGGGTAAGTGTTGGTTTAGTTCTGAGGAACATCACATGTTTTGGGGTTGCAGATGAATGAAAGGGAGGAGGAGGGGTATAATGTAAACATTTAGGGAAGTAGAAAAAGTTAAATGTTTTATAATACAGTATTGATGATGTGAGAGTTTTCTGCATGTAAAAAGTTGATGAAGTGATACAGTGAAATTATTATATTACTGTTATATGCCTCTGATATAAGTAGGGCTTCTGAGTTATGTAACTATTTTGAGTAAAAAGAAATGACTTCAAGTATGAGCATACATTCTGGTTTCAAAAATTAAAAATATGGAGTTTGAATCAGGGAACACAGTTTACAATAAATTTGAAACCTCGTAGTTAAGCAGATTCCAGCTAAACTATGTGACGTACTGCTGAATTCTCCGTTGAAAAGTGTTTCCTCTGGAAAACCTTCCTGCTGCCCAGCTGCTGGGTTAGCACCTCGTCAGCTCCAGGCAGCTTGCCCCGAAGGGACCCGCCTCTGCTCACTGCCTCCCCCGCCCATTTGTCCAAATAGCGTTGTTCTTGAGAATTCTGGCTTAAAAAAACTTTCTGTAACTCATCAGTCGTTTTTCTGTCAGAATTTTATTTGTAAACATTTTTGTTGTCACCTTGTCCTCTTGAGTCCCGCTTTCTGCCTGTTCTGTGTCTCTTCCCTTCCTTGACCTGACGTTCCCCTCTTTACCAACAGACACAAGATTCCTTGAAACTGCTCTGATTTGGCTGTTCTGCTCAGAACAACTCATGGCTTTTCAAATATGCCTTGTTTTGAATACCTCGGCTTCGTGATTATATTCTTAGGCCTCTCTGATTTTTCTCATCTGAATCCCTAAAAGATTATATTATGTAACATACAATATAATGTATAATTATATGCTCTTCATCAAGAAACATTTTTTGAATTCCTGCTACAACTTTCTCAGTGCTAGATGCAAAGAGGTGAAAGAGTTCTTTTCCTTAGGGAGTTTATGTTTTTGTTTGTGTGAATGGACACAAAAAGTTAAATAACAATATGAAATAGTAGAGATTGAATTTGTTAAATAGGTACCATATTCAGAAAAAATAAACCACTGTTACCTGGCGTGGTAGAGGCTGTGTCACTGCTAGTTTTAGTACCTTACTTTGTATTTGTAGATAGCCGCCTTTAATTTGTGTCTGGGTAATAGGATTTTTGAACAAAGACAGTTTTTCGGCCACTAGCAGGAATGTGCTACTCGGCTGGATTATGTGGCTCATGCTTCAGAGAAATGAGATGTGCTGGATATCTAGATTTGGGATGGAGGTGCTTGTGTTATGTTGGAAATGAAGCCTAGCTGTTACGGGACCTGAAGATGTGGCCTTAGGCAGATGGGGAAACAGGGATAATCTCGGAGACAAGGCATCCTGCAGTGGCCAGGATGCCTGACTCCACTTCTTTCTCCTTCTCTCCTTGGTTATTTTTCTGTTACAGTGAACCAAGGAATCACACTCCAGTTATTTCTGATTGATCACTCTCCTAGACTTTGACATACAGGTTTTTCTCTAAACATTTGCTTTCACTTCTCTTGGGTAATTGCCAGGTGTGAGATTGCTGGGTTGTGCAATATATGGTCCATCTCTGTAACAAACTGCCAGACTGTTTTCCAAAGTGGCTGTACCGTGTTGCTTTCCCACCAGTGGTGTGTGTCCTGGCTGCTCTGCGTCCTCACTGGACTCTCAGGGTTTTTGTGCTTTTGGATTTAACTGCTTATTTTCCATTTTAATAGGCTTGTAGTGGTGTCTTCTCTGGTTTTAATTTGCTTCTCCTTAGTGACTAACAATGTTGAGCATCTTTTTGTGTGTTTCTTTGGCATCTGGATACCCTCTTTAGTTTGAAGTGTTCGACTCTTAAATGTTTTGCCAGTTTTCTAAAAATTGGGTCATATGTGTCCTTACTGAGACTTGAACATGTCCACAGTGTGTTTTATGGACACAAGTCCTGTATTAGGTATGTGGTTTGTAAATAGTCTTCTAGCCTGTGGTTTGTGTTTTTACCTTTTAAAGTATCTTTCAAAGAGAAGATTTCTTACTTTGATAAAATCCTGTTTATAATTTTTTTCTACTGTTGTTCAGTCACTCAGTCATGTCTGACTCTGCAACCCCATGGACTGCAGCACACCAGGCTTCCCTGTCTTTCCACTCTCTCCCAAAGTTTGTTCAAACTCATGTCCATTGAGTTGATGATGCCATCCAACAATCTCATCCTCTGTCATCCCCTTCTCCTGCCCTCAGTCTTTCCAAGCATTGGGGTCTTTTCCAGTGAGTGGGCTCTTTGCATCAGGTGGCCAAAGTATTGGAGCTTCAGCTTCAGTATCCTTGCAGTCCAAGGGACTTTCAACAGTCTTTTCATGCATTACAGTTGAAAGCATCAGTTCTTTGATGCTCAGCCTTCTTTATGGTCCAACTCTCACAGCCATATGTGGCTACTGGAAAAACCAGAGCTTTAACTAGATGGACCTCTGTTGGCAAAATTATGTCTCTGCTTTTTAATACGGTGTCTAGGTTTGTCATAGATTTTCTTCCAAGAAGCAAGTGTTTTTTAATTTTGTGGCTGCAGTCACCGTCAACAGTGATTTTGGAGTCCAAGAAAATAAAAATCTGTCACTGTTGCCTTTTTTCCCCCATCTGTTTGCCATGAAGTGATGGGACCGTATGCCATGATCTTTGTTTTTTGAATGTTAAGTTTTAAACCAGTTTTTGAGGCTGTTTAGTTCCTGTTTGCTTTCTGCCATTAGGGTGGTGTCACCTGCATATCTGAGGTTATTGATATTTCTCCTGGCAACCTTGATTCCAGCTTGTGCTTTATCCAGCCTGGTATTTTGCATGATATACTCTGCATCGAAGTTAAAGAAGGGGGGTGACAATATACAACCTTGATGTACTCCTTTCCCAGTTTTGAACCAGTCTGTTGTTTCGTGTCCAGTTCTAACTGTTACTTTTTGATCAGCATACAGATTTCTCAGGAGGCATGTATTTTCTATTATGAATTGTATTTATGATGTGTTATATAAGAAATCTTTCCTTGATCCAAAGATCTGTTCAGTACTAACAGTAGCAAGTTGTTAGTTCTGTTGACTCTTTCACTGGGTGTAATTTTCATTAAGTATCTGGTTTTTCAATACAGTATTTGTGGAGTATAAGATGCTCCATTTTAAATGAACCATAAATGAAAAAAAAGTAATACTTCACCTAAGCTGTGATGTAACATTAAACTGTCAGCTCTAAGGTGTTTCCAGATTTCGGAGATATTAAAATAGAAAAAAGTGTGTCTGAATTGGTGAAACATATTTTTTAAAATGTGTTGTGTGGTTGGCTGTCCCCTAGGTTTTTTATAGATTCTCCTGGAAGTTCCAGAACCTGGGATTTCTTAATTGCTGAAAAGGCAGTAGTGACATGTTGAATGTGTTTGGGTGTTTTCTCTGATCAGTGACCCAAGAGGAAGACTGCGTGATTAGCAGAGAGGGTGACAGAACCCACAGGAGGGGAATTTGTGTGTATGTGTGTGTGTGTGAGAGTGGTCTCCAAGCACATGTCTGGGAAGGACGGGGGTGGCCAGCGGCCACTGCATCAGTGGGAAACAGCTGCAGGGTGGGAAGACCTCTGCCCTGTTGTCTAACCTGTCCACACCCCGGCTTTCCTGCTTTATGAAACTAGGCCCAGTGTTTTCTGGTGCTCCAGCTCTGGGGTCTGGTGCCTTCCGTGCTTCTCTCATGTCAGACCAACAAGGCTTCCTGGATGTTAGAACACACTGTGCTCCTCAGTTGGCCAGCTGTTGTATGAATGTCTGTTCTTGTGCCCCAGGCTTGTTGAATTCCCCATATTTGCCTTACAGAGAGAGAACACGTTGTCAGAGTGGCAGTCTGTGGCTTGAACTTACCTCAGGCTTATTCACAGTGAGTGAGCCACAGCCCCTCTGTCTTCAGTGGTTGTCACTGTCCATTTATCTCCTGGAATCTGGGAAATGAAAGATGGGTGGTCAGTTGAAACAATTATCAAGTTTGGTTATGTTAGAACATTCCAGAAGTTTTAGAATTTGGAGTAAAAACAACTTGGAACTAAGAAAAGTGGGATGAGAACGGGAGAAAGTAATTTTTTCTTGCTGAGAATTGAGTTTAATTGATGCAGTTGAATCAGAGTACAGGATTAAAGGAGATTTGTGGTTTTAATGGCTGGCTTTGGAAACGGGGTTCAGGTAGCTATGTTTTTGGGGCCATACGCTGTTTGTATGTATGGCCTAAATGCTGAAAATAGTTACTACATTTTTAAGTGTTTTAGGAAAAAAATGAAAAGGGTTTTGTGATGTGAGTGTTATCTGTAGGTGCTTTTCCTTACAGCACAGCCCTAGATCCAGCAAGTTAGAAGGAAGGAAATCATTTACTTGTTAACTGTAGATGGTGTAGCATCTGATTTTTATTAAACTATGTAGTTTTATTAAACTATGCTTGACTTTTTTTTTTAACAGAGATATCGAACAAAACCATACTGTTGCAGCCTCTGTAAATACTCCACAAAAGTGCTTACTTCATTCAAAAATCATTTACATCGTTACCATGAAGATGAAATTGACCAAGAGCTGGTGATCCCTTGCCCAAACTGCGTGTTTTCCTCTCAACCCAGAGTTGTGGGAAGGCACTTCAGAATGTTTCATGCACCTGCTCGGAAAGTCCAGAATTACACAGTGAATATTTTAGGTGAAACTAAATCATCTAGGAGTGATGTGATAAGTTTTACATGTTTAAAATGTAACTTTTCAAACACACTGTACTACAGCATGAAGAAGCATGTGCTGGTAGCACATTTTCACTACTTAATTAACTCCTATTTTGGCCTGAGAACTGAGGAGGTGGGTGAGCATCCTGGAGCTGACGACACCCTCTGTGCAGAGAAGTTGCTCACGTCTGACAGGTATTACTGTAAAAAGTGCAACACCAATGCCAGCAGCCAGGACGCTTTAATGTATCATATTTTGACATCCGATATACACCGGGATTTGGAGAATAAGCTTAGGTCTGTCATCTCAGAACATATTAAGAAGACTGGCCTTTTGAAGCAGATGCATATTGCTCCCAAACCAGCTACACACGTGGCCATACCGCCGAATAGCAGTGCTCCGGGCATCCCAGCCTCATCTCCTTGCTACCACCTTGCCTTGCCGCAGAATGGCCAGAGCCAGACCGTGGTGCAGCCGGTTCAGGGTGCAGCCCCTCCGTCTACTGTGGCCGCGGGGGCTGTGGGCAGTGTCACCCACTCTCCGCCAGCTGTTGCCCAGCCTCATGTGACCCTGGTCTCCAGTCCTCTGCCAGTGGGCCAGAGCAGCCTCACTTTGCCGCGCTCGACGCCTCAGCCTGTCTTTCTTTCTCATGGAGTCCCACTTAGTCAGGCAGCAAATCCTCCCGTGTTGCCCTTGAGTCAGCCGGTTGGACCTGTAAGTAAGTCTGTTGGAACCAGTGTCCTCCCCATAAATCAGACCATCCGCCCGGGGGTTTTGCCGCTCAGCCAGCCTGTGGGGCCCATAAGCAGGCCAGTTGGACCTGGAGTTCTTTCGGTGAATAGACCCGTTGGGTCTGGGGTCCTCCCTGTCAACCCCTCTGTCACCCCTGGAGTGCTTCAGGCAGTCTCGCCAGGGGTGATTTCTGTGAGTCGGACAGTCCCGTCAGGGGTCCTTCCTGCAGGACAGGTGACCCCTGCTGGGGTCATCCCTTCAGGACAGACAGCGACTTCTGGGGTTCTTCCTGCTGGCCAGGTGGTTCAGTCAGGGGTGCTCCCCATCGGGCAGACGGCCCCCTCGGGGGCACTGCCCACAGGGCTGACGGTCCCACTGCGGGTGCTCCCTCCTGGCCAGGTAGTCCCACCTGGGCTCCTTCCCCCCAACCAGACAGTCTCGTCAGCCGTTCTTCCTGTGAACCAGGGCATTAACTCTGGTGTTCTTCAGCTCAGTCAGCAGGTCATGTCAGGAGTTCTTCCTGTGGGCCAGCCAGTGAGGCCTGGGGTCCTGCAGCTTAATCAGTCTGTGAATACCAACATTCTGCCTGCAAATCAGACCATTAGACCCGGTGCTTCGCCAAACACCACTTTTCTGACATCAGGCTCTATTCTCAGACAGCTCATACCCACAGGGAAACAAGTGAATGGCATTCCCACATACACACTTGCCCCGGTGTCTGTCACTCTGCCAGTGCCCCCTGGAAGCGTCGCCACTGTTGCCCCTCCCCAGATGCCCATCCAGCTCCTGCAGTCGGGCACAGCTGCCCAGATGGCCAGTTCCATGGCCGGCATGCCCTCCCCTCCCGTGGTGGTAAATGCCACTCAGAGTATGTTTGTTCAGGCCTCTTCGTCTGTGGCAGAGGCAAATCAGGTGCTCAAACAGGCCAAGCAATGGAAAACCTGTCCTGTTTGCAACGAGCTCTTCCCTTCCAATGTGTACCAGGTCCATATGGAAGTGGCGCATAAGCACAGTGAATCCAAAGCTGCTGACAAACTGGAGCCAGAGAAACTGGCGGCATGTGCGCCATTTTTAAAGTGGATGAGAGAGAAGACAGTTCGATGTCTTTCTTGTAAGTGTTTAGTTTCGGAGGAGGAGCTTATCCATCACTTACTGATGCATGGCCTGGGGTGCTTGTTCTGCCCGTGCACCTTCCACGATATCAGAGGCCTCTCAGAGCACAGTCGGACCATGCACCTGGGGAAGAAGAAGCTGCCCATGGATTACAGTAACAAAGGTTTTCAACTGGATATCGACGCCAACGGCAACCTGCTGTTTCCCCACCTTGACTTTATTACCATATTGCCTAGGGAGGAGCTGGGCGAGCGGGAGGTCTACCTGGCCATCCTGGCGGGGATACACTCCAAGTCGCTGGTGCCTGTGTACATCAAGGTGAGGCCCCAGGCTGAGGGTGCTTCTGGGAGGCCCGGCAAGCAGGTGTTGACCTGCCCCTTTTGCTTTGGCACCTTTGTGACAACGGAGGCATACGAGCTGCATCTGAAGGAGAGGCACCACATCACGCCCACAGTCCACACGATTCTGAAGTCTCCAGCTTTCAAGTGCATCCACTGCTGCGGGGTCTACACTGGCAACATGACGCTGGCAGCCATTGCCATCCACCTGCTGCGCTGCCGCAGCGCCCCCAAGGACAGCAGCCCTGACCTGCAGGGCCAGCCCAGCCTCCTGGAGAACAGCGAGCTGCTCTTAGTCAACGGCGAAGTGATCCACGATACCAGCTTCTCAGTGAAGAGAAAGCTGCCTGATGGCCACTCCGGGGTCGAAGACCAGAGGGATGGTGCGGAGCCGCCCGTCGTCATAGACGCGGACACAGACCCGGCTCCAGAAAAGGCAGTGAGTGCTGCACCTGTTAAACGGCAGCGGAGTGAGGGCAGGACGGAGGGACCGCCCGTTAGTGACGACGCTCTTCAGATTTTAGCATTAAATCCTAAAAAGTATGAAGACCGTTCTTACGAAGACAAAAAGCAGTTTCTTAGGGATTATTTCCACAAGAGACCATATCCCAGTAAAAAGGAAATAGAATTGTTATCTTCACTCTTATGGGTGTGGAAAATTGACGTGGCTTCATTTTTTGGAAAAAGAAGGTATATTTGCATGAAAGCAATAAAAAATCACAAACCGTCTGTACTTTTAGGCTTTGACATGTCTGAACTTAAAAATGTTAAACACAGGTTGAACTTTGAGCATGAACCACAAAACTTGTAAAAAAAAAAATCTAAAGTATTAGATAGTTTTTTTCAATTGAGATTTTTAAAAATGTTATTTTCTTCACTGTATGTTGAACTAATCAGTTTCAGTGGTCTTTATGCTGCTCTTTAGATTTATTTCAGGTGCTCAGAAAGACTTCTGTATAAAGAAGTGAGTAGTTCTTTCAAATTTGTTTCCTGCAGTTTGATTTTGTAACAATTACTTTTTGTTTTTTCTCTGTCATGTAAATTAAATCTTTTGATATTTCATGCACGCCTTGTTTTCCCAGTAGTGTCACTATTGTATGATAAAAACTAAAATCTATATATGTTTATTTTTCATTTAAGGAAATTTCAGCTTGTTTCAGAACACTTGATTAACTGCAAATTAAAACTGCTCTCCCTCAGCTTCCCAAGTAGCAACAGACGATACAGTAAATGTTTAGAGAAGTGAGTAGCAGCCCCTGTGACATGTCTGGTTCATTAAGGATGCACTGCATTAACTTACGCTGATTTCTTCTTGTAAGGTATTCGCTAATTAGATTATAATTTTGATTTACGTTTTTTCAGTTGTTTACGTCCTAACAGTTGTTTTTGATTGTAACTCAGAAAACCAAATGTTTTCATTTGTTAAAAATATACTGAACCTGAAGTCTGGTATTTAAATCAAGAGTTATTTTACAAATAAAGTAATTCTGTAGGTACAAAATACTTCTCACTGTAGACTTTTCCCCTCTTTTTGATGTGGTGATAAGTCTTCTCCATTCAAAGACAAGACAATAAATCTTTAGTGCCTTTAGAACAAACACTGAAAACACACACACAAGCTCTCCTCCTGACCTAACTGTGCATAAACAGCGAAAGGGAAGGTCTGAGTTACTCAGGAATGAAATGTTGACCCCTGAGTGTGGCTACTAACTAAGATTTAAACACAGGTTTTTAGGGAACAAGGTGAAACACATGGACTGGAGCTAGTCTCCTGGTTGGTGTATTAAATCTGACAGTTTCCTGGAGGTAAATTTATTCATTCTAGGAAAATGGGCTTTCCCATAGCCTGGTGTCCAGGTTACTGGGATGGGCTATTGCTAAGGAATCAAGTGTGTAACTGTCCTTCGGCCAACTAGGCCTCATTTTTTCCACGTAATCTGAAATAACTTAAAGCACCAGAAGCAGTTGTGGAGACCAGCCTGTTTGACCTTGAGCCACAGTGCTGGTGATGCACGGGAGAGGTGCCTGTGCTGCGTTCTTGGAAGATGTGACAGTCTCTGGGAAATGAGATACTGTTACCACGTGGAGTTTTAAAGTGTAGTTCTTGCATGTTGTTGCTGTAATGTACATTTCTGAGGCAACCGTGAAACTGGCGTGTGTGTGATTGTTGGTGTGCTCTGTTGTAAATTCAAAGAGCTTGTTCCAGTCTGTTTTTTTTTACCTATTGTTTTCAGAGTGTCTATTTTGAATTAAAACTTGTTATACCACTGCAAGTAGAACTGTTTAATTCTTTTAAATGTTGAAACATCACGATGATTCAGAAACAATTTAAACATGGAAGTAGATACCATATTTGTTGTTGTGAAAATAAGCACACCCCCAAAAGGCTGAATAATTACAGGGTCACGAAATAGCTGTGGCTGGAGATCCTTGCTTTGTGTGATGGTGGCCGGGAGTTGCCTTTCTCTAGGCTGAGCTCTGTGTTGCCCGGCGTGGCTTGCCATCTGTGTGGCTTGACCTGCGCCCCTTCAGTTGCGAGACTTCGGGGCTCTGTTTGCGTTTGGGGCCTGGTCAGTCTGTCGGGCTGACCATCCTGTCCACTGCAGGATCAGAGCAGCATCGCCAGCCTCTTCCCTCCCAGTCGTGGCCCCTGCACCCTCCCCCAGCTGTGTCCCTTTGGGCAGAGAGTAATAGCCCTGAGCAGAAACTCTGTGATGAAGGAATTCTGGTTGCTAGCTGTAGTCCAGCTTTTGATGTGGAATCTTTTTATATGCTAGTTACTGGCTATTAAACACTTTTTTAGGCTTCTAGATCAAAATTTGATGTAAACTGAGCTTCAAAAGCATATGGGAGTTCTTGTAAAAAAAAAAATGAGTAAATTTATTATTTTAGCTATGCTGTGCAGTATGTGGGATCTTAGTTCCCCAACCAGGGACTGAACCCCTGCCCCCTGCTGTGGAAGTGTGGGCTCTTAAACACTGGGAATTCCCTAAGTTTATTATTTGAAAATGAAAAACTGAACTATAGATTAAATAGTTTAGTGGTGGGGGATTTTTATGCTGTCATTTAAAAGATTGGAAATTGAGAAGGAAAGAAAATTCTTTTTTATTTTCATGGTTTCAAAAAGGTATATATTTAAATTTTAATCTATGCATGAACTTTAGAAATACTACATATTTGGAGACACTGCTTTGGGAAATATCCCCAGTGTTTTTGCTTCAAGTAATAAATCCTTCCTTCTTCCATCTTCCCCCAAATTACATATTTGAAGTCTATTCGGTGAAAGACAAATTAGAATGTAGCATTTAATTTCTGAATTCTGTTACCATGGTTTTGGGATGTGTTGTTTTTAACAGCCAGGAGCCTCATCACTTCATTTGTTACAGTGAATAGTAAATGAGGAGAACTCGGGAGGCCCCAGAAAGCCTTTCATCCACCCGGTAACAGGGCAGGCCCTTCGCCACCGCTCCTGTGGTTGGTTTTTCTTTTGGTGATTGCTCTCCCACCCGCCTGTCAGCGTGCTGCTTCCAGAATGGAGCTCTGCGGATCTTTGTCAGATTGCATTGGTAACTCAGCTGAGGAACAGGTCAGCTTTGATGTCACCTCATCCTAAGGCCCTTGAATGTTTTCTTTAAGAAGCTGCAGGCGAGGGAGGTCGGACAGGCAGAGTATGGCTCCTGTGGCTTTAGCGGGCAGCAGGCCTCGCAGGACTGACTGCGCCACAAGCTGCGAGACCCCAGCGAAGCTGCGGGAGTCGTGTCTCCAGCTTCTGGGCTGTGGGCCACAGGCCGGTGTGAGGGCGCAGACTGCAGGATGCTGTGCCAAGGACAGCGCTGGTGCCAGGGCCGTGTCAGCATCACAGGAGTGTGGAGACGACCTGGCACAGGGTCGCCTACTCTTGCCCCCTCACCCTCATCAATGTGATCAAACAGAACACAGCCAGTCAGTGAAGAAGCCAAGCTGGTCCTGAAAGCTGACAGGACAAGAGACCCTCATCCACATACCACCAGATAACCACAAAAACAGCTGCTGTATCGCCACTGGACTGGCATCCTGGGCAGAGGCGCTTTTCCGGAAGCCCTGGTGCAGGTATGTCCCAGGGAAGGGCTGTTGCTCTTCAGTCCTGCAGTCGGCCTCCTGGGGCGGGCAGGGTGGACACGTCGTCCTCTCCCTCAGGCTCTGGCCAGGTCCATCTCCCTCCTGAAGCCACCCAGTTGTGGCTCTTCACTCAGTTTTGCAGTAAGGCCTCTGGGAATGCTGTGCTGTGGCTGATTCTCAGCCACCTTCCTTTCCTCTCAGAGCAGCAGCTGTGCCAGACCTGCGGGAGCTGGTGGTTCTGCCCCAAGTCCCCAAGGACCACCGCACCAAGGCGGGTGGTCATCCACCTCTGTTACCCTTTCCAACAGCCTCACATCTGATGCTTATGTGCAGCTCTCTCTTTCTTACTAGAGGAAGCAACTGCTCTGACTAAAAAAAGAAAAAAGAGCCCCAAAACACTAACCAAGTTTATACATTGTTTTTAAACCGCCTTGCTAGTAAGTAATAAACATTTATCAACAGTTTACCATTGCTGGGACATGGGCTGAGTATTCTAATGATGATGGTGATGATCTGCTTTCCTTACTTGGTCTGTGTTGGTGCAGCTGTTGTGCATTTTAACTCTCAACAGTCTTATGAGGTGAATGGTAGTATCCATACATAAGGAAAACGGAAAGTTCTTTTTCCTTTTTCCATATAAAGGCAACTGAGGTTAAGTGAGCTGCTTGAGGCAGGGAGCTAGTTAGGTGGAAGGAGTGGGGAGGTGACGGGGTCGTGCTGCTATGCTCCATTCTTCTGTTCATGTATTAATAGGTCACTATTTAAGCCTCAGTACTCTTGTGAGTAGGTATTATTTTGCCTGTGTTTTCAAGGTGAAGATGTGGATTCCAAGGTAGTGTGTCCAGCTGTCGCAGTCTGCTCACGACTGAGGGACTTCTCTGAATTTTTAGTACCAACACTGAGAATATCCAGGCAGGCGGGGACAAGTTGGTCACCCTACCCAGAGGTCAGTTCACCTCCCCACAGTGACACATCACTTAAGGGATGTGGTACTATTGCTAATAAATAGCCATTCTCTGGGCGTGCACGTAGCCCTGTTGGTGTGGAGGCACAGGGCACCCTGCCCTGGATGGTTACAGCCGCGACAGCAGCAGGGCCCTGTGTGCTGGGTACTGTTGTGAGCGTGCGATGAACTCACTGAGGTGACGTTTTTTGAATGAAAAATGAAAGGAGGGAAGTCTTGATTAGAACAACAAAAAAGAAATACAAATTTGCTATTTCATTCAGTTTTTTGGAATGTCTCCCCATGTTACTAAACAGAGCCCCTGCTGAACTATCAACCAAGGAATACAAGTTAGAACTACGAGGCACTGCCAGAAAATTAAGTTTTAAAAACTTAAACGTAATATCATCTTTGTCCTCAAACTAATTTGTTTTTTTGTAGGTGGTGAGTAAACATATAAACACACATTCCTTATTACAAAGCTTTACCTTGTAGCACTCCTGCTGCTGTACACGTATGAAATTACACTATTACTAATTATTACCTAGTTTTTAAAGTTTAAAAATTTAGAAATCATTTTAGCAATGAAAATTTTATACAGGGAAACTCTATAATGAGTGAGCCCCGAGAACATGTTAGTTGTAACAGTGCCCAGTAGTTTCTAGTTACTTTCAGATTCTAAAGCCAGGAGTTTTAAAACTTGTGATCCATGAACCATCTGAGTAAAAGGTGTTAACACTGATGAAAGTTTAAGTCTAAATTACCAGATTTTTATAATACACAGTTAAGATGACAATTTACCGGCACTGTCAACCTTAAAGACCTGTGATAATGACATATGAAAGCAGCCTAAACTGTATGCTTATTTGGGATCAGATATCTAGGAAGATCACCATGTAAAGTAGATTTAAAGTAGATTAAAATCAAAATAAAAATCTGTTTTATGACTGGGATCTCTAAGGCCGCTATGTTTTCAGGTGGAAAACAAACACTAACACCATTCACGCGCTGACCTAGCTCAGCTTTCAAAAGGTAAAGTGTATATAATAACGCTGCTAAATATTAGGTAACATTCGTTTCCCACATGCTATTAAAGAAGGTGCTTCCGAAACCACTTTTTAAAAAATCCCACCCATAAAATATGAGCAATGATTGTTTACTTTTAAGCAAACAAAAATTACATAAATTCCTTTTCAGAGATAAAACTTTTAATAAATAATAAAACATTTAAAATTTTATTAATCTTTATTAATGCTACTTCAGCCATATAGATATGTTTGCTATGGATAAACTAAAATCATGGTCATATTATCAAATGCAAATTCAGAATTAGTTGTCATAAATGAGTATATTTTTTCAAAAATTAGTTTCCTATGGTTTACAATGCATGATATGGAAAGTTTAATATGATGTTAGATAATTTACCACTTGCCTAAGCTAGAGGAAATTGAATAATTAATAGCAGTCTATAATGGTTCAATAGTTTTTCTTAAAACAATGTTTCTCTATAAATCTGTCTTGAGTGTTAAGTTGTAAAATCAATAAAAACAACAGTTTTGCTAGGGTTTTATAGATCAGTTGACTCATTTTGCTTCCCCAGCCCCTATGGAGCAGCTTTCAGAACTGTTTGAAGACCCAGAAAATCCTACATTGTCTATGAAATAATGACACTGACACACACACGTTAGTATGATATCAAACAGACTACACTCAGATTCTGGAAGGAGTTTCCATGCAGACAGATTTAAGGTCTCATTATAAGGAAAGTATGCTGCTGCTGCTGCTAAGTCGCTTCAGTCATGTCCGACTCTGTGACCCCATAGACGGCAGCCCACCAGGCTCCACCATCCCTGGGATTCTCCAGGCAAGAACATTGCAGTGGGCTGCCATTTCCTTCTCCAATGCATGAAAGTGAAAAGTGAAAGTGAAGTCGCTCAGTCGTGTCTATTTGCAACCCCATGGACTGCAGCCCACCAGGCTCCTCTGCACATGGGATTTTCCAGGCAAGAGTACTGGAGTGGGTTGCCATTGCCTTCTCCAACAAGGAAAGTATCTTTGGTCCTAAAAAGGACAGGATATTTAGCCTCTGCTGTTGTCTTGTGGAAGATGACTTAAGAAAACACCAGGGAATTCACGAGATCATTTTAAAGAAATGCATTTTGCAGGAAAGGTAGTTTTTGGTTATTTTTAAAATTTAATTTGGTTTGGATTTTATACATGCTCTCAAATAAC